AAAAAAAAAAAAAAAAAAAAAAAAATGAGCGTCCAGTCCCAGCAGGGCCCTCCTTCTTGGGGAGGCCAGCACTCATTTCCCGAGCATGGCCTTTTTACCTCCCTTCACCTCAAACTCTTCATCTGCAAAGTGGGTTACTACCCCCGACCCACAGAATTGCAGCACGGACTGAATGAGGCCACCGGCTCCTCAAGGGCCATTGGCAGATGTGAGTTCCCTTTCTATGAGTTTTGGGTGCAGCCCTCAGAGTTTGCCACAGCTTGCCACGAAAGTTGCTGTTGTACCGAGGCTGCTGTTTCTGGCTAAAAGGAGGACCCCCTGCCTCGAGCTGCAACATAGCAGGGGCAAGACCCCAGGAGGTCTTCCAGGCAGACAGGGACACTGAGGTCCAGGGAGGGGCAGGGCAGAGGTCAGGAGCCCAGGCTAAGGCCCTGCCCACTGGACCCTCTGCCTTTTTATTTGTTATTATTTCGTTTGTTTCTGATGGCAAGAGTGTCACCTTCTCAGTTGTGGATAGGCCAGAGATAGTGAAAAATTGAAAATACAAACAAGCAGCCCCCATGGTCTCAGCACACAGAACTGCTGCCTACAAGACTGTGGACATCTTTGAGGGCTACCTGGGCCACAGAGCTGAGTGGAGTCAGAACCCCAGGTACTCTGAAAAGTCCTCAGGTACTAGTGAGGGTCACACAGGGACCGAGAATCTTGAACAGGATCAGTGCGGGGGTCGCTGGGGCTTCTGGGCCAAGGTCCTGCATCCTCCAGGCAGACCTAGCCCAAGGGAAGGCAGACAGGGCAGCAGGGCAAAGGCCAGGCCGAGAACCCCAGTGCCTGATGGGACCCCTCCACCACCTCCGTCTGGTCTTCTCTGGGCCCCAGGCTCCTTATCTCTGCAGTGGGGCCCATCTAGCCCCAACCCTGAGACCAGGACGTGTGTTGACTCATCTAGCCTTCATGGGGAAATCTGAATAATGTTCCACCCAAAGACACCTGTGCCATGTCAGGCCCATGCTGTGTGGGGAGGAGATGGGGTAGAGAGGCTTGACCCAGCAGGAGTGTCCACACCCCGGGCATGCTCCCCACAGCCGACCTTTCAACCAGCCCCTTGCCCACCAAGCTGGCCCTCAGCCCTCCCAGGGGAGTAGACAGATACTCGTGGGCCCACACGTTCCCTGGACGGCCCACTCGAGAGGCGCAGCTAACGTGGGATGCCAGGGTGGGAGGAGCCCTGCATGAGGGCCACGTGTTACAGACAGGGAGACGAAGGCCCAGCTTCCCAGGACTTCTGACACCTCCCAGCCTGGGTCACCTCTCACTGTTGGAACCCAGGGAGGGTCTTGGACGATGCTGATTGAGCCCCTACTGCTCAGGAAAGACAGAGCTGGGTTAGGAGCCCCAGGAAAGCCACTTGACTCTGGGTTGAGATCCAGCTCTAATCCCGTGGAATGCTGGCCTCAGTGTTCTAGCCAGTGAATGGGGCTGACAGGGCCTACTCCCATGGGAGGCCTTATGCATAAGGCTCTGCCATCACTGATCCCACAGGCTGGCCTGGCTATCTCATCCTGTGATAGGTCTTCAGGGCCAGGGCCAGAAGCATGGACAGCCATCGGGCCTGGGCCCACCAAGGCTCTGTTCCTTTATGGGCTTCTTCCTGCCTCTGTGCTCTCGGGAGCTGCCCATGGTCTTTAAGGCAAGCAGGGGAAGGGCACTGTCTGCTTCTGCCCAGGGAGGGCAAGTGTCCTGTCTAAGGTCACCTGAAGGGCTCGTGATGGGGACCCAGACCAGAGTCACTCCCCTGCATTCAACAGAAATCCCGACACTGTCTGCAGCAACCCTGGGCAAACTTTTCCAGTCATATCCAGCTCCATTTACAGATGGGGGAGGCTGGGGCAGGGTGGCGAGGAAGAGCTGCAGGAACTTGCCTTGTTACAACCACAAAGGGCAGGATTGTTCCCATATTACAGATTAGGAAACTGAGGCACAGAGAGGTTAAACTATCTGCTGTAGGCTTGCCAACTGGGGAACGACAGAGCCAGGAGGCGAACCCGGGTCTGTCTGGTTCTGGCATGCCTGGGGTGGGGCCTTGCTAGGGGTGGAGTTGACCCTCCTGTCCCCAGCCCCAGGAGTCCTTACTCTGCTTTCTCTCCTCCCAGGGCCAGCAGTTCCAGCATTATAGGGTCCCTGCCTCAGGGACCAGGGATAAAGATGGCTTCCTGGGGCCTTCCCGGTATCGCCCTGCTGCTGACGGCGCCCAGAGGTCTACTAGGAAAGCAGGCCCAGCCATGGCAGGCCCCCCTCACTGGCAGGCCAAGGGTGGCCCGATACCCCGTGCTCTTCCAGATCCAGGGAGTCCAAGGCCGACCCGAAATGCCCGCCCCCTGGCCGATGGCAGGACCACCGAGGAGCATCCAAGTCCCTTCGGAATCCCATACTCCAAACTGTCTCAGTCAAAGCACCTAAAAGCCAGGACCAGCGGCGGCCAGTGGAACTCCTCTGATTCTAAACGGAGGCCTCAGGCCCCCCGGGACCACAAGGACCCCTAGCAGCCTGCCCCAAGCCTTCCGAGGCCTCTGCCCCAGCCCAGACTCGTGATGTGGGAAGGCAGGCGGGCCGCCTGGACCCACCCAAGCCCTCCAGGGTGGCTGGAAGGTGAGGTGGGCGGGCGACATTGGCACTCACCTGGTCGGTGCACCAGTACCAGGTGGCCAGGATGGTCAGGCCAAAGGTCATCCCGGTCCACGGTAGGTCCCCTGTGTGGGGGTCTCGGAACATGTGCATGGCGTCTGCGCGCGGCAGGTGGCAGGTGGTGTTGGCGATGGTCCTGGAGGGGATGGCCCGGGCGTAGGCTGCCTCCAGCTGCCCGTAACCGCCAATGTGGTTGAAAGCTGGAGGAATCAGGGTGGGACAGGGACAGTTTGGTGGCCGGGGGGCCCTGACCCACGGGCTCCTGGTGACGTCATCTCACAAGTAACTTCCTGACGCATCAAACTTGAGTTTTTCCTACCTCATCTTTCCCAGTTACTTGGAAAGGTGTGGAGGGTCGAGGGTTTTTTTAAAAGGTACATTTGAATGATTATTTTATTTGTATTTAAAATAATACTATTAAATGAGCATTTTGCACATGGACACCCCGGTGTCCTGTTGGGTCCAGCAGAAGTCTCTGCTGGCCTCTGGATACCTGTCAGCTTCGGGCAAGGGGTTCTCTGCCAGGCTTCTGACTGGTGGTTCAAGGAAAAAAAAGTATTTTTTCTTGGCATTCGAGACCCTTCCTGAGGCGTCTAAAGTGTTAAAGTCCTGACCCGGGGCGCCCAAAGGGTGTGATTTTGGTAGAACTGAGAACGGCTGTTGGTGACGTGGCCTCAACCTCCGAAACACAGTGAGGGAGGCCCAGCAAGGGACAAGGGCTCCACAGAAGCCAGGGCAGTTTCCTCTCAAGTCCAGGCCACACTGCCCCTTCACTGTTCCTGTCTACCTCGGGGTCAGGGCCCTGTGAGGCCAGGCCCTGGCCTGTCTGTAGCTTTTTATTTTTTAATTTTTTTATTTTTTTGAGTTGGAGTCTCACTCTGTCGCCCAGACTGGAGTGCAGTGGCCACTCCCCGCCACCACAGCCTCGACCTGCTGGGCTCCAGCGATCCTTCCGCCTCAGCCTTCCAAGTAGCTGGAACTACAGGCACACGCTACCACGCCCGGCTAATTTTTTGATTTATTGTAGAGGTGAGGTCTCGCCAAGTTGCCCAGGCAGGTGTCGAACCTGCGGGCTCAGGCGATTCACTCACCTCAGCCTCCCAAAGGCGCGGGATTACAGGCTGAGCCACCGAGCCTGGCTCTCTGTGACTTTTGCCATATCTGTGGTCACCCCTGTCCTGTCCAGACTTGGCCTGGCTCCCTGCGTCTCTTGCGGTGGATTCCAGGAACATGAGGGCCCCTGGTCTGAGAGGGGGAAACTGGGTTGTAGGCAAGCCCTGGTCTCTGCCTCAGACCCCACACCCCAGCCTTTCCCAAGCAGGATGTGGAGAGGAAGCATGCTGCCTGGACTCCAGCCCCCTGCAGCGTTACTGCTTCCCTGGAGCCCAGGCCAGAGTCTGAGTACAGACCAAGGATCCATGTGAGGCTCAAGAGCAAATGTACAAGCTCTAGACAAGGATTAGAAATTGCTCGATCGCAGGATCCCAGAGACTGAACCTGGGAGAGTCTTTAAAGATCTTCGTTCACTCTCTGTGGAATCCTCCTGACTCTGCTTGCATACTTCCAGGGACAGGGAACTCACTACCTCCCAGGATAGCCCTAGGAGCTTCCTATCTGTTCCAGACTAATATTGCCAGTCGGTCTAAGCTCTCTTCTCTCCTCCCCTCCCTTTGTCTAGCAGGAGGTAGCATCACCTCTTGGGATTCTGTACATGATTGGAAACAATTGGAGGAGATGCCTGGGCAGCTTTGTGGTCTCCTAATTGTGTGCTTCCACACCTGCCACACCTACAGCCCCACCCCAGTGTCAAGCTCGGAGCCAGGGCAGGCATGACTGGCCCTGTGTCCCTGAGTCAGCTCCTCGCCAGACCTGGAGCTGGTGACAGCTGGGCAGCAGGAGTGGGCAGCAAGCAGGCTCCCTCTACCCTCCAGGGAGGCCATCAGGGGGCTGACTGCCCAGTCGCCGGACCTCATGAGCCTACCCAACCCCCAGCAATGTCCCAGAGTTCCAACGCGTGAGCCCTGCAGGGTGACAGGCAGCCCCAGCCTCCAAAGGGCTTGCTGCCGGGACAGCTGTGCCATGGCCCAGCCCGCAGCGCTCACCTTTGACTGTCAGGATGACCGCCCCCACCACCATGATGAGTGTCTGCAGGGTGTCTGTGTAGATCACAGCGGCCAGGCCCCCTGCGGGGGAAACAAGGCTGCTGGAGGGACCCGGCCTCAGGGAGGAGGGACGAGGGAAGCAACGTCCAGAGCCCCTGCAGCCGTGTCTGCTGCCCTTTGCAGGGTGACCTGAGGTGCAGAGCCAGACTCCGACTGGCCCCTTCCCAGGCTGCCCCTGGGCCTGTGGGGGGAGACAGCCCTCTTCCCCTGCTGCCCCGCAGGATGGTGGCTGGCCCTTCCTGCCGCAGGCACTGTACCTGCGATGGTGTACAGGGCCGTGATGACCAGCGTGAGGATGGTGGACAGGTAGAAGTTCCAGCCCAGGCAGATGTGGACGAAGAGGGCCCCCGCATACAGGTCCAGCTGGAGAGGGAGAGTCTTGTGTGGACGTCTGGGTCACCATTAGACCCAGGGCTTCAGAAGCCACTCGCCGCGTCACCTCGGGCAAGACCCGTCCTGGGGCCACCCCCCTGCCTGCCCACTTGCCTCACGGGAGGCCATTCATTGTGAGGGTGGAGGAGGAACTGTGGTGAGCAAGCTGTGGGCTGTGTGCGGATGTCAGGGGACGTTACTGTTACTAATAAAGTCCAAAGTGGCCGTGCCCCCCCAAGAGCAGTGTTGTTATTGGATCTGGCCCCGGCCCTGGGGGTGTATAAAAGGCAGAGTCTTGTCCCCTCGGTTCCCAGGGGCAGCCTGATCAGGTGTTCATAGGGGAGGCTGTGAGGACTAAGACCCCTCAGGAAGTGTGTGTGCCAGGGTGGGCTGGGGCCACCCCAGGGTTGTCTTGCACCCCAGGGTTGGAACTGAAGCCAGGAGTGGTTCAGAGGCCCGTGTCTCAGGTGCTTGTTCAGGGCAGGATTAGATCCAGCCCCTGCCATCCCAGAACCTAGGCCCGTTTGGGCGGAAGCCACAGCCTGCAGTGAGCCTTGGTGCTCAAATGGGTCTGGCAGATTGTGGTCCCAGCACCTGACTGACAGCTGAGGCCCAGAGAGCAGAGGGCAAGACTCTGTGCCGAGGGACTCAGGGCCGGGTAACAGGCCCCACCCTGCTCCACCCCCTCCCCCAGTTCCCAAACCTGCCACTCCATGTTGGCTTGGGAGAGGGGAGATAACCTGGCACATGGCCTCTGGTGCCAAGAGCTTCCAGAGAAGGCTGTGGCCAGGCTGGGATTCCGGGAGCTCGCTGGTGGGAACACATCTGCCCCAGGCGCCGGCTGCTGGCTCCAGGCCCCTCTGAGCTCCCTCAGGGCCTGGCCACATCTGAAGCAGACCAGCCCTGCCTCCCCAGCCTCAGGGACACAGAGCCCAGGCAAGACAAGTTGGTTTCAAAGGCCAAGTTCCCTGCACCTCTCCCTCCAGGCACCTCCATTGCCCTCTCCTGGCAGACCAGCCAGTTTACAAACTTTCAGCAGACTTTTTTTTTCTTTTGAGTTGGAGTCTCTCCGTTGCCCAGGCTGGAATGCAGTGACATGCTCATGGCCACCCCAGCGTCAACCTGCTGGGCTCAGGCAATCCTTCTGCCTTAGCTTTCCAAGTAGCCGGAACTACCAGTGTGTGCTACCACGCCCAGCTAATTTTTTGATTTATTGTAGAGACAAGGGCTCACCAAGTTGCCCAGGCTGTTCTCGAACCTGTGGGCTCTGGCAATTACTCGCCTTGGCCTCCCAAAGTGCTGGCATTACAGGCTTGAGCCACTGCGCCCGGCTTCAGCAGGCTCTTTAAGAACCCTGACCCCCTCACACTGGACCTTGGCTCCGACTGTGTGTGTGTGTGTGTGTGTGTGTGTGTGTGTGTGTGTGTGTGTCTCGAAGAGGTGGTCCAGGGGTCCAGGGGAGGCTGAGGTGGGAATGGTATTCACCTCCAGCTGGTGCATAGAAGCCCGGAGATAGCAGAGCAGGGAGGACTTTTCAAGCCCAGCCCCATCAGACTGGAAGAGAAACTGAGGCCCCAGAAGGGGAGGGGACTTCCCCAAAGGCAGGCCCCTGGTAGATATCAGATTGGAGTTGCCAGGCCAGGGAAGGTGGGGAGTGGGGAGGAGGCCTCTAGAAAGCCCACAGCACCAGCCCCACACTCATCGTTCTCCAGCCTCAAGACCCCTTGCCGGACCCACTCTGCCCTTGGACAGAGCCCTGGTCTCAGACTCTGGCCCCACCAGACACACCGCCCCTCATTCCACACCCAGCATTCGGCTGCCTCCAGGCTCACAAGCTTCTTCTGCCCCAGAACCTCCTGTCTCTGCTTGTCATCTCTCTCTTTTTTTTTTTTTTTTT